CTAGATGCGCATCTAAACAGGCTGATGGAAACATGGCTAGTGTGTCCTGCCTAAAAATGACATAAAAAAGTCACAGAAGCCATGTTTCCATCAGCCTGTTTAGATGCGCATCTAGAAGTATCACAGAAGTATCAGTTTTGCTAGTATTTCCTGTTTTATTTTGAAACTTACCCTTGTCTCTTGTATCAGGCACATTACTTCCTGCCCCTGTGTGTTTCCCTCCTGTGTGATTACCTGCCCCGCCCTGATTGGTCTCACCTGTCCCTCGTTACCCCTCCTCCTCTGTGTATTTAGTCCACCTGCTGCCGTTTATCTGTGCCAGTTCATCTCAGTTGTTTGAGCACATGTTCAAGGCTTTTCTTCCCAGTGTTTTCTAGGTTTTTTGATCTGTTATTTGCATTTTTGCATTCTGCTAAAGCTCCTAGCCTTTGGAGAGTTTCCTTTGTCTGTGTTTCTGTGCCACAACCTTCAGTAAAGCCCTTGGATTTTTGAGTCCTGCGACTGAGTCCTCTCTGTGTTTGGTACCAGTCTGATACTTACATGTATTAATGCACAGTGCATTGTATGCCTTGCACTACCAATGAGAAGAAGATTCCCAGCAAGTGCAAGTTTCTGACACCCAAATAATCGCTGCTACACTTACAAAGTAAGGCAACTCTACTCTTTAGTGTTTTGATTAGATTGGAGGACACTGATCCTGCTGCAGGACTTAAATGTGGGTGCTTACTTATTAGTGAGCTGAAATATGAAGCATTCATCTTAAAATCCTGCAATAAAATCTGTGAAGACTTCCATCTTGAGTGGGTTAGTTCTGCACTAACAGTCCTGATAGAGTGAAGCCAATCACTGAGGGCCCATGGGCCTCATATGGTACAGTGTCATTTGACTGAATTTTCGACTGCATCTCAAGAGATTTTTTTTTTTCACCTGATTTATAAGACTGATTTCAAATGAATGAAGCTGCACCTGCAGCATACAATCTGTAAATTGAAAGTGCCACAGGAAGTTGATCGTTTCAGCTCCTGCAGGGGGATTCTTTATATCAGATGCAAGCACTACAGATAAAGACATCAATGCAGACTTCTACTTGCAAGAACAATTTTTAGCCATGCTAGTGGCACGGCTGTTGGGATGGCAAGGAGTCAAGAAATATCTGAAATATCTCAACAACTGCAGAATTGATTTACATTATTTCTCTACAGACATTCATGGTCCCAAGAGGATGAAGTTTAACAACCTTGGTGATTCCCCTCCTGTTTCTGTAGCAGCACCATGAGGTTCACGTTTGTGGTTTTGAGTAAAATGCCTCAGGAACTAGGTTTTTGGATGGACTGTCATGACATTTTATACACACCTTAGTTTGCCTCTCGGGGTGAAATGTACTTCAGTTTTTCACTTGCAAAACAAATCCCATTCCCATCAGCCTTAGCTGTTCTTTGTGTTTATTGCTAATTCACTAATGTTAACATGCTAGCATGCTAGACTAGCAATTAACTCTTACACTGAAAATAAACAAAACTGGAGGTACTTCAGGTGAATACAGTTCATACTCAGTTGTTTTGTTTAAGTATGTTTAAGTAGGATGTTTTAGCGCTTTTAAGTCACAAACCTTCTTCTAAGCCTTTTGCTGCTCTCTGTAGCATATAAATGAATAAAAAAAAAGAAATGGCAAAAATATATAAACCGGAAACTGTCAAAATTTTTGTTTAGCCACAGTAGTCAAAGGAGCTAACATTACGAGTGTGTTTGAGTATTTTTGTACTGTCACCATTTTTAGCCCTAAGTTTGTCACATTTTTAGCAAAATGCCTTCTGGGTTCTTCAGCTTGCAAAGGCATACATGTCAGGTTAATTGGTGTAAACCTGAGCGTGAACGGTTGTCTGTCTCTATGTGTCAGTCCTGTGATAGCCTGCGGCCTGTACCCCCGACCGCGACCCCCAATAGGATAAGGCGGTTACAGAAAATGAATGAATGAATGAAAGAAGCACAAATACACAATAGCTCCCACCATGTAGGCACATGTCCCCCTTTTAGCTACAGTAACTGGCATGAACACAAATACACACCTTCACACTTGACCTCTAAATATCAGCCTCCCTGGGCAAAAACTATAGCCACCAAAGGTTGGGGAAATTTTTGTGGACTCACAAACCAACCAAACAACCAACACAGCGAGCTATTGAGCTGCTGGTCACAGCTAATAAAAAGAAAGGTTCACATGAAAGCAAAAATAAAGGTATATTGTTGTAAATAAAGATCCAAAAATGCAGAAAATAACAGAGTTCCCATGACAACCTCTTGAAAAAGACAACCAGGATGAAAAATAAAAAACTTTTAAAACATATCAGATAGCATTGCTCTCGCTGAATGGATGACCGTGTGCTGTAGATCATGTCTCACCTCTTCTTGTTAACTTCTTGTGTATCGGTGTGACTTTGCTGAGTTGGGTTTTGAGTGCTGATTGGATGTGAGAAGGAGAAACGAAAGGTAAAGTCACCGGTAATGGGAACTCACCTCCTCTGGTGTCTCATATCTTAAGTCTCTGAGAGTGAGGACAAGCAGCATCAGTTTCCTGACTTCACACTCACTTCAGTTTATTTATATTCCTCTTATTATTGTAATCTTATTGTGGATAATAACTCCTCTTTTATGTGGAACTTTACAAACACATTGTTAATATCTTAAGTTCAAATATACAAACATTGCCTTAATGCAAATACAAAAATGTTAGTGTGATGCCTTGCAGTCGAATTTGTTATTCATTTGTATTCATTATATTTCAGGGTGTGTATTTGCCATACAATAACAACAGTGTCAACTAATGTTATTATGGTAATGTCTCTCACTTCCATTTTTCCTCTGATGAACAGTCTTTCCCATCAACCTTATAACAACCCAGCTAGCCGAGACTCTTCTTCACATCCTCCTGCATCATGCCAAGTCAGTCTCCATTTGTGCTGGGAACAGAAAACCTATCCTGCACCTACCTAACCTGTCCGGAGACACCTCCCGCATCTCATCCAGGCCAGGGAGCTCCATGTCCAAGGTTCCACAACCCCCTCAGACCCATCAAGCCTGACAAACAACCACATTTTTCTCAGTCACACAGACAATAGGAAACCTGTCCCGACAGTGCTTTAGCCAGGACGAATACATGGGTCACAAACTTGTTCCAGCACCTGCTGCCAATGTCTTGGACATCAGCCCAAAGCAGGATCCCCAGTTCCCACTGTTAGTGCAGCCCTGCAGGGGGGAGGAGACAGGAGGAAAGGTAAAGGAGCAGTTCAGAGAAAGGAGCATCACTGTTTGGTGTGTGGACATCGGCTGTGGCTGTTGTCCTGGTTATCGTCTCCCCACTGAAAGCTGTGTGAGCCTGCATGGCTGATCTTCAGCTGCTGTAATGTGCATGGGAAGGACATGTATGACCCATGGGCTGCATATAAAGATACACATCTTCGAATTACTGTAATAAACCAGGATTAGAACAACGCATTTGCTGTGACATCTGTGAGTGTTTTTTGTGGAATACTAAAATAAATCCGGTTGCTGTCTTGAAAAAAATCTAAAATAAACATGCAGGAGATGCTTTGAAGAAATGTTTGCGTCATTGATTAATTATTGGAATAAAACTTATAGTATGATCCGTTGAGACAGTGGTATATCTGTGCCTAATGTGAAATTCAGATGCCTTTCCATGTTATGTGCGCCACCTAGTGGCCTCATAGTATATTTGCTGTATTGAAGCTAAACTATATGGTGCCAGTTTACTTTTTACATCCAGTTAATTGTCTACATGCTGCGGTGCTACCCAAGTCCAAAGTCTAGTGCAGGTAATTCAACTGTCAGATAATGAATTTTAATACATAGCACTGATAAAAGAGCTATACTTATGTACAATTTAGAGGTACTTGAATATTTTAATTTTTGTGCTATTTACGTGTGAATTTTCGAGGGAAATATTGTACAGCACACTTACTCCATGCTTTTAAAGTTCAATCAAGACGTTTCGATCCTACTCAAAATGTTTGAGAAGTTGAAACCACAACTATATTTATACATAATGCACACCAATGGGCTGAGGCTCTGTGATGGCAGGTGTGGTTACCCAGCTCCACCAAATCTACAAAATATCAGACATATACCTTAACTGATAAAACATATTGACTTCATCAGCCAATATATCAGTCTACATCACCTACGTTCAAAAGTTCGAGGCAAAACAGAACAAGTCTTAATTAATAGAAGGTGTCTAAACCCAGTGTACATGTATTTAAGTCAGTCTTTTTAGGATCGAAACATCTTGATGGAACCGACGTGGAATAAGTGTGCAGGTGTTACTTTCTTTCCTTCATGTGCACTGTTGTTTCATGGCCTTACACCTGCGTGCTGTGCATATAATTACTCTCCTTTAAAATATTGTACTGCAAACATTTTTTCCTGCAATACATTTATTTAACAGCTGTAGTTTCTAATACATTAAAAATTAAACCACTGGCTTCCAATCTTTTAGGCTTGTGATCCCTTACTGAAAAAAGCAGTGAATAGTTGGGGCCCTTTGTCACATTCCTGATATCTGAGTCATCCAAACCAAACGCCTCAAATTTTTTAAGCGTTTGGGGCCTCAAGACGCCATAAGCTCCAGTATTTCACAAGAAAAATAAAGATTAATGAGTTATTAAAAATGTGAATACATATTTGTGAAGTAGAACTTTGGTTTTCTTCTTCCAACCCCTCAGATATATTGTAGCCAAGCAGTTATAACTGATTCCAGCCTGACCAGTTTAACAATGCTTACGCATCCCTATGTAAATATCAATGTGTCATATTTGTGTAATGATATAGGTCAGAGGTCATTTTTTCTGCATAACGAGCATTTTTACTTTTAATACTTTATGTACATATTGCTGGTGGAGTACTTTCATACTGTTATATTAGAACTTTTACATCTGCAAAAGGAACAAAATAAAAGTGACCAAAGAAGAATCAGTCTGCATTGTGGATCAATGTTAAAGCCTGTTATTCATTGAAAACATTTATTACATTTTTTTATGATGCAAACAACAGCAAGTCCCACCCTGGTTGGAACAGCTCATCACGTGGTCATGAGGGAATGAAAGAGACACAAAGGGACAGGGACAGAAAAAGTGTATTACGCGCAATTCCATTGTTTCTGTTAAAAAACATGACAATCAGCTCTCATTGTAAATTTTGGCATCTTTTTCCCTCCTGTTGTACTCTCTGGTATAATGGTCAATAAAAATCAAAAAGAACAAGGCATGCATAATAGTTTCTGGTAATGCACATAGATCAAAGGATACCACTTATAAGTACAAAATCCATGTACGATGTTCATGTACATTTCATATATATATATATGGTCCCTTTCTTAGAGGTGTCTTAGGCCTACCTACCTGTTCCCACTGTGGGACTGTGTCCTTATCTACGCTTGGTCACTAGATTCACCCTGTACAAAGGTCTGCGCCAGAAAATGTATCTGCAGGATGGACTTCTAACATTGGTGATTAGGCTACTAGATGTTACACCCATCTGTTTATTCCTCCCTTCATCTCTTACTGCATGTTATCATCAGGCTATTTATCCCCACATCTCATTTATTTAAATAGTTTTCTTCGCATCAGATGACCATTGTGCCATGTGCACAATTTCATCAAACCATGCCTGGGTTACAGCTCGTATTATTACCTAAAATTCTTCTCCCATCTGTTGAACTACCACCCCATGCATCTCTTTAAAAAGGGGAGTCCACTTGGATCCATTCAATGCTACTGTGCCCACAAAACAGAAGTCAGGAACAAAAGTGTTTTAACTTCCAAGAAATCTAAAGAAATTGATCTAATTTCTGATTTGCTAAGATAAATGCACTGGTCCATTTTAATAAATGGGTGAAACAGCCACACATCTATAGTGAGGGCTGTATACGTGGCCACGCAGTTTATTTACTGAAATCATGTAAAAAACAAAACAAAACAAAAAAAACAGGACAAATCAAATGTGATTAAATACAACATTGAATGAATGTCTTAACTGTTAAAAAAGTGTACTGCAATGTATACAACTAAGTTGCTCTCTCTCATTGCTCAAACTGAGTTGAAGAAGGGGAAGAGGCATCGGGATTGTTGATATACCAATGGAATCATGTACAGATTTACAGTTATAATGCATCTATTGTCACACTCAACAGATGGCAGGAAGGGAGGGAAAGAGGGCAGCAAACGACAGACACAATATAGAAAAGATTCATCCGTTTGAATTTGAACACCCTTTGCTGTGGAACCAATGCTATGTTACTCTCTTAGAAAAAGACAGAGAGATGGAAACGAGTGTGCGCGCGCTCATACAGGTATGAATTCTGTAAGTGCGGAACCAAATGTTCGACCAATAAAAGTCTATTGGGATCAAGTTGTACTGGTTTCTCTGGAGGTGGAGGCAGATTTGTTTAACCGAACATGGGGCTAAGTATGATGGTACTGGTGGCAACGGTGGGCGTCTTGAGTGGTTGGGTTTAGCGCCCCCCTGATGGTGGTGGTGGTGGTGGTGTCGGTGTGTTCCTGGGCTTGGCTGCTTTAGTCGATATACTGGGAGAGCCAGCGGAAGCCGTCGCCGTAGCCCTGCCTCTTCAACACGCTGCACATGAACACTTCCAGTGGTCTTGTGTTCAGCTCCTTCATGGGAATGGTGCCCTGAGACAAAAGCAGGATAAAAGTCACACTTAAACTACTTCTTTAATTAGCAAAGTCACTTCATTCTTTATACAATGCTGTCCTCTACACACAAAAAAATCAATTAAAGCAAAACTTCCTGCAACCCTTGTGGTGTGGTGTGCGTAGAGTTGTAATTTACAAGGCGATCAAGAGCGAGCTCTGAGTTTGAATGCATTTTTTTGAATATGTAAATGTGTCAAACAGGAGTTTGTGTTGCTCTTAACTTGGCAAATAAATAGAAGGAGGTAAACTCCTGCAAGATAATGCTTAGCCTAGAAAACTTAAACTTGATGTTTTCCAAGCTTAAGCTGACTGATACTTTACTTCACCACCGCTACTTCAGTTTGCTTTGACACCATTACTGAATAACTTGTATGTCAATGTAATGGGGTAGGAAGTCATCTCCCCATAGTCCAACACTGGATCTTTATGCAGTCTTTTCTCTGGTCAACTACTGAAAGTGATGTTTTGCTTAACTTCTAATTCTTACGATCAGGTATTAAAGGGCAGAGTGTAGTGTCCCGACAGATCAGTACTGTTTCTACTCACCTTGCCTGTCGTCTGTCCATACAATCCAAAGATTTCCCTCAACTTCTCCTCGCTGATGGCCTCTGGTCTGTCGATCTTGTTGCCCAGGATCAGGATAGGCACGTTTCCAATAGTTTCGTCTGTCATTAATGCCTAATAGGGTAGACTCGGTATTATTACGTGGCTTTGATATTCATCCTTAAAGTCTTAAAGAAAAAGATCTACCCTCAGATACTACAATGCTATACATTTCAAACTGTGGTGATATTTAGTTCCTTCCAGAAGTGATGTTATGAGTATTTACTTCTACTTTAACTGGAAATGTCCTACATTTTCTTGAATTACACTTGGGATATTCCTAAGAAATGAAAAATGTGGACTGAGCAATATGTAAATGGTAGACAAAAATTGCACAGCAAGACTTTTTAGTCAGGACAAAGTCAGACAGTAATGGGCTGTGCCTCCTTATCCATATTACAAAAGTGCTACCAAACAGGGCTTTGTATTTCATGCGCAGAGGTTTGTACCTTTGCCTCCTTTGCAATGGATTCCTCTCTGAACAATTATTTAACATTGATGGTGAAAGTTGACTGTAGAAAAAAAACCCTTCTTACAATATGGTAGGTAGGTTTTAAAACACTTGCTTTATTAAAAACATTTATCTCCTAGCGTTGTGCATGAATACCACTGTTTTAAAAAATAGTCCCACGTTTTTATTGTTAAATAATTTATATGGAATTAATTATTTTTGATCTCTTCTTTTGCTTTATATAAAACAGTGACTGCACATTAGTTATCACTGCAATTTTTCTAATGCAAAAACAGAAAAAATACTAATTTTGATTATGTCTTTGTAATAACTTACTTGGGTACTTTGGGGGAAATTTCATTGTAAATTCTTAAGCCAACTAACCATCAACACCAGACACTGAGCCTTTAACCAGACCTAGCAGGTACTTACGTCAAGTTCTGCTTTTGATTCGGCCAATCTGATGAAGTCTGCACAATCCACAAGGAAGACAATGCCATTAATGGCAGGGAGGTAGTTTTTCCACACTCTGCGGGCTGTGTGAACAGACACAAAAAACAAACAGAGTTTTACAGTCTGGTCTGTCTACTTATGTTAAACAAAGCATGCATTCACTGACACTGCAGTGACATATCGTATGTTAGCAGGAGTATTTGCAGAGGAGAATTTCCTTTATGCACTGCAAATATAGCCTGGAGCACTTTTCCACAAGTGGGTCAGGTGTGTATAGAAAATTGCCAATATCATTTTTTTTTCCCAGGATTTATCTTAAGTGAAAAAGTGGTATTGGAGCTTCATAAACACATATCGTGACAAATGAAAACCAAAAACATGAGTATACATATTACACAAGCACACCTTGTGCGTGGCCTCCAAGGTCAAAGGTGGTGAAAGTCATGCCAGCAATCGTCAGCTCTTCCGAGGCTGGAGGAAGAAAGAAAATAATCATGAATAAATCTTACAAGTCAATGTTTAATGTATTTACATGTGTGCCGGATGAGTGAATATTATAACCTTTTTTTTTTTTTGGCATGGATGGCTTTGATCACAACTGAGTGAGCATGTGTGGTTGTGCATGTGTGTGAAGGAGTAGCACCAACTCACTCGGATGTAAAGTTGGCACATGCTGTCCCATTCTGTCATCTTTGAGCATGTGCAATAGCGTCGTTTTGCCAGCATTATCCAGGCCAAGAAATACCAACTTGCCGGATTTCTTGTACAGTCCTGAAACAAGGCCAGAAGCAATTCACAAAACAAGCCCTGAACATTAGAAATCGTTTTTTTAGACGGGCTGCATCACATTATACAATGTTTAGTCACTGGAAATGTCACACATAATAAAAGATCACATCTGAACTCAGGTGGTGAGTCTAGTAGTGTTGAAAGTCTGTCACGGCTTAAGAACTTTGGTTTGCATAAAGATAACACTTGACAAAAGAGTTGCCAAGCTCAGACTTGTTCTCAGACATGCAGTGGACATTCAACTCATACATCACTTTTTTTTACTGAACAAGAGGCTGAGCTCAACCTACCGATTCTGCCATTCTCTGTGCTCTATGTCACATAAAGAATGTTAATAAATTAAATAAAACTAAGGCCAAATTAAGCTATGCTCTTGCATACTGTATTGTGTGAACATGGACAATGTAAATAGCAGTTGATTTGTAATTCTATAAAGGAATAGCATTCAGTCCTATTGATAAAAACATACAAACAAAAAAGGGGCTTTCTGCATTGAAGGGAAGCTGACAAGATTTTACTGATATCATCAGTTCTCTAAGACAGATGTATTATCTAACTGAACACAAGAGAAAAGGTGCGACTGAAGTCAATCCTTCCTCAACTTTCCTGACAGGATTACAAGGCTTTGTATTTACCACTCTGAGTCAGCGTAGTGATACCCAGTGGATTTGTGAAATTTCTGACTGAGTCAGCTCTAGTAGACGTCATCATTAGTCACAACGGCACTATGCTACCTGTCTGACAGGATGAACAGGAACAACTGCTTCTCAGGAGCAGCACTGACACTGAAACTAGAACAGCGCACTTTGGGGAGAAGAGCAGCTGCTACACATAGCAAGATTTAGCACCAGATTTCAGATGGACATAACAAATCAATCAAATCATGTCACCTTTCTGTGAGATATTTCCTTTTGTATGCCTTTCATGTTCACATAAAACTAGGGTTTGGCAATAGTTTGTATTCTCACGTTGTCATTAACAGAAATCGCCTCTGGTTAAGGGAATGTTTATGAGTCTGAGTCATGATCAAATTTACTCACTGCCGACGTCTGACTACTAGGGCTAAGCAATATATTGATATTATAACAATATTGTGACGTGAGACTAGATATTGTCTTAGATTCTGGATATTATACCCATATAGTCATTATATGCACATTACTGATGATTATCAAAAATCTCATTGTGTAAATATTTTGTGAGCTCAACAGTCAACTCTGCAGTATCACCGCAATATTGATATCAAGGTATGTGGTTGAAAATATTGTGATATTTGTTTTTATCATATCGCCCAGCCCCACTGACAACAGAAATAGGTCTCTCTCGTTACAAACAATAAAACCTACTTATGTTGTTTATGAGTTAAGACAAAGCCAGTATCAAATGAAATGCTTCATTAAATATTAATTTTAAGTCAACTGTCAATAATTGCAGGCATTTATATGCATTTACAAGTGAATTTCACGTTTTACAGATGCAAGCCAGTCCAGCAAAAGAAGAAGCAGGGTGTGAGGTGGATGCTATGGACACTGGTGCCTTGGTACGCATGCATATGGCGAATGGACATTGACTTTTGTCGGATTGCACAATGCACTTGTCAGGATTGGTGGATGGAAAAGGGATCGCAAACAGGTTGCTTTAAATTAAGGAGCAGAGTCACTTGTGCTGATTCACAGTGATCATGTGTGTGTGGACATGCCACTCCACCAGAAGCATCTTCTGTATGTGCACAGTAGGGAGCAGGCTTTAGATTTTATATGCTATAACAGTTTAGTTCCTTAACATCGGCAAAGAAAGAACACAATCAGCACTTGTCTCATTGATAGTCTATCTGATCGCCTATCGGCACTAGGCCATATAATATATGCCATTTGGAGGATGCTTTTAGCTGAGCCACTTCAGAAACATAAGTAGCAAGTGCGGTCCCAGTGGAAATCAAACCCATAAGCCAGCTTCTTGTGTTTGTGCTCTAACTGAGGAATATAATCATTTCAAACTACACAGAGGCACTTAAAGGAATGGCGGCTGCCGTGGTATCTTTGATTATCAAAGAAACTAATATGTTTTGCCTGACAAGGGCTTTAGCTGACAAGGCGACTTTGCTACAAACGTTTTATTGCATTAACATTTGTAATGTGGATTAGCAGTTAAGGATGGGTGTCGTGGTATTTGTATTTCAGATTTGAGTTTGTGGGGGACAATGGAAACCAACACCCTGCTTCTTACTATCAACTTCTACCACAACAGGGATAGATTACTTAGGACAAAGCCCACTATTTGCACAATACACATCGCCCCCTTCTCAGTGAACACTTCAGGAGGTGTTAGACAGACCAGTAGTTATAACAATTAAAGCTGCTCCTGTGATCATTGGAGACATTAATTAGATTACACTCACACCACCATTACAGCCACCCACCATCTTACATAACATTTTGAATAATAGCTTTGTGGTTCACACTACAACAATGCCATTTTGATTAAAAACTTAAGATACCAAAGTAGTCATGACGGTTAGCAATAACCTTTTAAGCCTTTCAGCACTGAATTCATGTTAAGTCTGAATCACTGTGTATGATCGCCAGTACTCACCTAAAAACTGTAGTACGCCATTGATACTTTGATAAAACCATTCTATTATGCCTGACATATCCGGAGCTGTTGAATCTTGGGAAAAAAAGGGAAAAAAACAGAGGTAAGAGGACATATGCACACAAGAGGAGAAACATAACAGTTGGGATTTGTTATTTTGACTATAACATCCTTCATAATCATAGGAAAAGTTAGCAAAAATTAAGTCATCTGATGTTTGTGCCTTTTTACCCCATTACTTTCCTACTAATGATTTACCAATAACTTGAGTTGCATTTATTTTTGTAGGTAGTTTGTTACTGGTGTTGTCCACAAAGTCTCTATTCCTACCCATGGACACCATACCATACAGTTAGCGTTGAGAAAGAAGTGTCGCCATTACACTGTTAGGAGGGAAACTTTGTAAGGGTTTGGAAAGCAGCATCAAAACAGTATCCTTTATCCCCAGCATGAACAGAACACTGAGGTACAAAGAGCTGTGATTCAAAATGTTAGCAAGAGAGTAAATACGAAGATACATTTGCTAATTCCTGTACATAATTGTTAAGATGACATTTTATCCTACTGATGACGATATTGTCACAATACTGAAATTGCTACAACAGTAGCTATTTACTAAAAAATATCCAGGTCTAAAGATGACAGCATTTTTTTTTCAACAGCACAGCTCTGAACTACACAATGACCTAATATTCATTTTCATTTCATGCCTTGAGCCTACAGGGGTAAGTACCTGAAAACACCAGGAGACAAACAGACACAATTAAGAGTATCAGACAACAGGAGACAGACAGTAAGATCAATAGGAAATACTCAGAACCTGTGACCACAAACCTAAAAGTGACACCACTCAACTCCATGAATATGCAACCTGTCTCAACCTATCACACAGATACTGGCAGCTGGTGATAAGAACAATGACTGCCTTTCTACAGCCAATGATTAGCTTGTCCCAGTGGGAGTCTTTGGACAGCAGGACAGGAGATGCAGAGCACTAATCACACGCCATCTGACAGCTCCGCAACATGCAACATGAGTATGTTGATCAACAACCCATCTGCAAGGGCCTGGAAATGAAGCCTAGTCTTTGCCTTTCATGATAAAATAGCCAGATTGTATTTCAATCAAAACAAAATGGATATGAGGTAGGACCTGCTGTAACTGTGTGAAGTCAGTGGCTTCCTGACTGACTACACGCAACAGCTTGTTGCTTCTGCTTAAGTGAAACTCTTGTTTTGTTCATTTCTCACTCTAGTCCACACAGCCTTATTTTTTCCCCTCTTGACATGTGATCAAATGTTTCAGCAATCTGAACAAGGGGGAGGTGAAAAACTTCCACTCTCTGTAACCAAAGGAGAACCTTTAAGTTACAACCATGATGTTTAAGCTAGTACATATACAAATACATAAACCAGTACATTGTTTTTCAACTTAATCTCTTTTACTCGCCTTTTCCCTGTGACTGTTAAAGAGCCATCAGAACCAGGTAACCTGCTGCCAGCCTCTTGCCGTAGTTACGTAATCTTCAAACAACTCCAGGGCTAAAGTATAAGGTAGCCAAAGGTCAAGACCACGCAAATACAGCTGAACTACACGTCAGCTGGTGTTACACTCCAGTCCCATATGCTCCCATGCCTGCTACGACACTGTGGGCTGGTGTTACAGACTGATGCTCCCACGTGCGGTATTATGCAGCTGTGAATGTGAAGCAGTTTGACAAAAAACTGACAACAACCACGGGCAAACACAGGCCCATATAAGACACGTGAGTTTAAAATGTGTGAGGGAAATGAAAAGGCTTGCCTGAAGGCAACAGCCTTAACCTGTTTAAAGGGATCTGGAGTCGGTGTTTACAGAGTTTAAAGGTCTAATGTGTGGGATTAAGGGGAACATAATAAGTATGTTTTCTTTAGTGTATTATCACCTAAAAATAAGAATCATTGTGTTTTCTTTTACTATAAAATGACCCTTTTATATCTACATAGTGAGCGTGTCTTCCTCTACGGAGATTGCCATGTTGCACCGCCATGTCTCTACAGTACCCCACAACGGACAAACCAAACACAGGCTCTAGATAGGGCCATTCGCATTTTCACATCGGTCGCTATAGTTACATGCCCTTCCAAGATGAAAGTATTGGAAAAACACTGACTTTCTTACAGTGAAACTGCTTTATTCTGTATTTTACTGGTTTAAATCACCAAGTCCCTTTGTTTTGGAGGAGAGAAAACTTGCTGAATGTCTGGATCTTACGTTTTTAGAAAAAAAAAACTGAGCCCCACCTCTGACATGTCAAACAGCATCAGAGAAACACTGATTTGTAACCTGAAACTGTTTTAAATCACTTGATCCATTTGTTTTGGAGAAGAGAAAACCTCTGCAGATATTTCAGCTCCTGGTAAAACCCTCCTGACCATCTGGATCAGAAATAAGGTGAGCACACATTATGTTATCAGGGAAAATAGTTAAGCATTCTCTAGCAGGTGCTGGGCAAATGCTCCATTTTAGACGTGACAAACAGCATAGGAGAAATACTTGTTCATAACTTGAAACTGGTTTATTCCGTGTTTTTATGTATCTTTATCACCTGGTCCATTTATTGTGACGAGGACTAGATCTCTGCGGATACTGTGGCTGCTGGTAAAAAGCCCCTGAATAAAGAACACTTGAATTCTACTGGATAAGTCTACGCTGGTTGCAATCTGCAGTCCTCACCGCTAGATTCCACCAAGTCCCCCTAAATCTTACACACTAGATCTTTAACTGTGCAAAATGATCAACGAGCATGATCAGCCACATTAAAGTGTAGTAATAAAAGGTATGAGGTAAAACTGTTGGCTGCCACGTTAAGATCATTGAACATGCACAGGAGGCATCTGGATAGAATTGCCCTCAGAGCTAAACTCACCATCAATGAGACATTTGTTATGAATTACATCTATCAGATTAGTTCATGACCATTTCAAATTACACTCAGCACAAGACTGACTAAACAGAAGTGTACTCACTCAAAAATCGCCACGCTACGTTTTGACAGTTTGCCCTTTTTACGATCTACCTCAATTCTTCAGTGTCTGAAAAACAACTCACAAACTCACTCACTCATTCACAGTCAGGTTATACGTAAGACTTGATAGCACGTTACGTGTGTAGACACAGCGGTGATATTTCAGCAATGTGTTTCAGTTCACAGATTGAGGCGATTACTGACATAAAGACACATATTTTCTTGAAAAGATATGGTCTCTACAAATTCAGCAAGATTCCAGGCAGGTGTTGTGGATCAAACTGATGTCATGAGAAAACTGTAAACTTATAATCCAATAAAAGACACTAAATGTGGTTTGACCCGGCTGTCAAATAAGTCCAGCAGCTATCACAAGCACTGTCAACGTAGCAGCGAAGTTAGCTAACTTAGCTAACCTTTACCCTAACGGCTAATGTTACATGGATCATTGGTCTCTGGCAAGTTCTGGGTTGGCGTAAAAATTAAAAGGCTTAAATATCATAACACTAAAAATTCATATTAAAGTTAGAAGCATACATTACGTGTAATTTTATATAGATTGGGTGAGGCCGACTAATATGCTGGCTAGCAGGAAGCCACTAGCTACGTGTCATATTCTCCAACAGGCGACGTTGCATCGAGGAGCTACTGGCTACGTGAGCTAATCAGCAATTAGCTAAAGAGATACTTCATTAATGTACTAACAACACCGGAGACTTGAATTAGTTCGAGTATTTCCCTTCCAATAACAAATCTGAATGTAGAAATAAATATAACAGCGGGTCAGCTTCAGTTTAACGTTAAATCCAACTCAAAGCCTGTCGATAATAAGCGAGTTAGCTACATCGGCGTTAGCAATGCTAACATAGCATCGTTAGCAGCCGGGATAATTTGCTAGCCGAAATGCCGAACGTTCACACAGGTCTCTTTTCCTACCATCTTTGTGAAAAGGCTTTTAAAACTTACCCGTTGTTTAGATGTAGATTATTTTACCGAGTGTATTTTCTCTTTTAGTCATGTAAATTGGTCTCCCGGTGGCAAAAAAGAGAGCCTGCGGAATGCCAGGTCTTCCTCTCCCTTTTCGTGTTTTGTTACTGAGCCACGACACTGCAATGGCTGTCCAGCAACTCCCAAAACTCTGCCCAGCCGCTTCCTGTTTATGTTTCACACTCATCTTTCCGATAGGAGAACTGAAATAAACCGAGTGTCTGGTGTTCTTCTTATTTTATAATTTTTACAAACATATTTCACTGGACTTTTTTTCATAATAATATTTAATTAAGGCAACGGTAACAAAGAGTAAAGTGTTCGCTATCTAGCCTGTAAAGTCATGAATATCATATTGTTAGGCACTTGCATGTCACTTCATCTAGAGGTGGAAATTACTTTTCTGGTCGTTTTAAATCTATATGGTCAGATTGGCAGATATTTTACAGTTTTTTACTTCATCAAAATAAATGAGTGAATGCTTTAAATACTGACTACATATTCAATACCAAGATTACACTCTCTTCTCTTGTTTCCAGTACACTGTAAAACCCAGAGCACCAGAGGAAATGCCACGTGTACATACTGCGCATGCCCGACGATTTTTGCGTTGATCCTGCTGGGTGATCCCAACTTCCGGTGAAAGAGGAGAAGTGTCTCACACGATTACTCTGACAAGGCCTATCGTTACTTACCCGTAGGTAGTTGAACGGGGTTTCGGTAATAGCCATGGCTCTGTGATCGCAAATAAGCCATCTACTTAACTTTTTAAGAAATTAGGAGACGTCGCCGTAGACGCCGCTTTGACTAAAGGCCACATCGTCAGAGCCACAGGTTTGAACGTTACCCCGCGACTGCCAGCTAGTTAGCTAGCTAGCTAAAGACGCAGCTAGCTATTCGCCAACCAAGCACCTCTAAATTAGGTCCTGGTGTCTATTTCAAGATGTCAACGGCGGGGTTTAACTCTCAGAATGGGACAGGGACAGGACAGACATATACGAATGGTGAGTAACATTCAAATGTAAGTAAAGTTAGGTCACGGCAAAGTAGCTAATAAGAGCTAACTCGCTTTGCGTAAGTAATATGCTAACATTAGCATCAGTTCTTGGACCCTGTTTCTGTGGCTATTTGCTAACTGTTAGCTAACTACCTTGCTTAGTAACGCTGTAACTATAGGTAGCCAAGCAAGAGCGAGCTGTCAGGTATAGTTATGTCGGGACAGCTGCGGTTAATCTTGACCTTTGTTATCTTAGTGACATAAGATGGCAAAAATAGTGTAAATCGTAAGGTACGCTACCCGCCTTGCTAACTCTTTAACCATTGCTGCCTTTGGCTTGTTGAGCAGGGAGACCAACAGGTTGACAAATCGAGGGGTCAACCGGCATTATGACTTTTGAGACAAGCGTTGGGTTGTCCCATCTTCTCCCAGTAAACATAACGGGGGTCATGGTCACACCGCCTATCTAGGACTTGTTATATCCTCTCAAATAGCTGCTCAGTTAGCCCGAACTTCCCCTGTGATGAAGAAAATATCTAACGAGCTTTAACTTGTGTTTTCCCACCTGTCTCCATATAGTTTTTCGTGTACAGTGACATTGTCCGTTAAAAATCCCACCTGTATGTTTATTAGCTCATTCACTGTTGAGAAATACTATTCTTTAGCAGGCTAAACAGCTTGGGAAGCTTTTGCTTTCTGCGTTTGACTGTACATGTGGCAAATTGGGGATGATCCAGATATGTTGCTGCACAGCGTTCTCCAGGCTCATCCAATTACCTACAGCAGTTTGAGATTACCCACACATTTCTATCGGATTTCCATGAATGCTAGGGAAAAACAATCCGAGCACACTCAGTAACATCTAACAAAAGTGTCATTGTGTGCAGCCTTCAGAAACGTTTTATCGCTGCATGTGAAGGAGCTCCCTTGTACTATGCAGATGAAGCAGTTGCAGCTCGAGTTTAATGCCTCAGGTGGTTTTCTAAAACTGTAGATATACTGTGTTTGTCTGAACTGTGTCTTAACTTCTAATTGCTCACCACAGTCCCCCTTGATCACATTCCTATCTCCTTTGAATCAGGTTGGTCATTGACATAAAGAATGTTAATCTAGCTCTGTTCTTTGAGCTTTGATAAGTTTGAAAACAAAGTCTCACTGACAACAGAAACAAACCATGAAAACACTTAATTAATGCTGGATGCCATGATGATAGAAGTATCTTTATGATGAATCATGAAAAAGTGATGAGTGTGTCCAGAATATGTATATTGTCAAACCAATAAATGTCTACATATCAAATGTATTTTCCACAACTGATGTGCATACAGTAATAAGAAGTGTAGCCAAAAGCATCATATATAGAGGTCACAGTTAGGGATGTCACTTGGCTGATTGATATTTTCCTGCATATTCTTATCATATACCAATTTAATGTAAATGAAGCCAGTTTTAAAATGCTTTACCTTTTAGTGGTTTGATGGTTTTTGATTTGCTTAAAGGTCTATGTTCTCCTCTCTTAGGAAGGACAACGATTTGAGGTGGATTATATGCTTTCATCTATCTTTGCTCATTGAGAAGAGTTGTTTTGTAATCTCTTCTCACTCTGATGCTCATTTAGCTCTGCTTCCAGTTATGTAGTACAAGACTAAGTGGATAGGAGTAAGTCTGTTTGCGTAATGTAATCATTTAAGGTGGAAAAAGAGATGCAATTAAAAGTGCTGCAGTTGAAGCACTCTTTCCTGTTGGATTGTTATTTAAGTAACACATTAATTAATATGAGTTGTCACTGTAACCTATTTCTTTCTTTTTGTCCGACTGACCAGCGGATATGTGTTAAAGATCTGTTTTTATGCTGGTGTGAATTCCAAAATCTACTAGCCACTCGACAGATAACCATTGTTTGTTGGCTGCAGTTAACTTTCTTAATTTACCAGCATTTGGCTGGTTGCTGGTGCTAACTTCCAGTCTTGACACTGTAGTTCTTGGTATTGATATTTCACATCCAGGATACTAAGAAACAAATGCCGCAGTTAAGTCTGATGTTTGCACAATATATAGTTAAAGCATTTGTAATTGTGCGAAAGTGTCTATGGTGATTAACTACGGTGGTCTGCCAAGTAAGGTCGGACCTGGCTTAGAGCCCCACACTCACTGTCACTGAGAGCAGATAATGGTGAATTAAATCCAGGTAAAGAGATTAGACCGTGAGCTGTCAGTTCATTGGCCGTTTGGTGGATCTGAGTGGTTTTCACTTGGTGTCATCGCTGCTAGTACTTTGCCATCTGCTTTTCATTTACCTTTTTGAACTGTGCTTCAGATTTATCCCGAGGGCTTGCTTGGGTTTAAGACACTTGAATGACAAACTTTTCAGACACAGAATCCATAACAATGTTGACTTTGTCTGTCTGGAAGCTCATGGCTTGGCTTTTTAAGCTTTCAAACACAAGGCTACCTTACAGAAGCTTTCCAGAATTGCACTGGTCAGGCATAACAAAACTATAAGCCAGAGCGCAACAATCCTTGGTCAGATTTTGGCATTTGGCACAAAAGAGGGAGTGCAACAGCCCGTTGTCTTCTTGTCACAGTGGCAGCACTGCTGGAGAAAACTTGAAAGTAAGAGGAATATTCAGCCTGGAGCTGACATGTAAAATTGCATTTAAGGAGTGAGGTGTGTGTCTGAAAAGCTTTGGTGTAATTTTGATTGCTAGATCTATATTATCCTTGGTACAAGAAATACGTAATAACCAAATAAACGTAGGCTTGTTATTTTTGAACTAGAATCTCTAAGATCCCTGTTTTTTTTCTACCTCTCTTCTTCAGGTCCATCACAGAATCCAGTTGCCCTGCAGCAGCTGCCAGGGGTCAGCTATGGCATGACTCACCAACCAACCTACAATCCAATGCAGGCCAAAGCTCCCCCACCTCCCGGCCCTGGACTTTACCCCTCTGGGCCATACCAATCTGTTCCTCCAGGCAGCTCCTACCAGCCTGGCCCACCACTCACTTCCTACCCAGCTCCGCCAGGCCAGTCGCTGTTGACCAGGCCTCTCATGGGAGGTCCTCCATCCCATACCCCTCCTCAGTCTGCCAGCCCCAGCCCTGGTCCTCGGCTGCCCCCTGCACAGGCCACACCTCCCCCTCCTGCTGTATCTTCTAGTAGCTACTACCCAAATCCCCAGCAGCCACACCCCATGGCGCCAGCATGGCAGTACAACGCAGCTCCCCCACCAATGGGGCCACCCACTTCCATGAGCACACCTCCCCGCGGCCCCATGGCTAATCATGTGAACCCAGCTGCAAGCTCGACAGCACCGCCACCACCACCAACATCGGCGGCTTACAGCTCTGCACCACTAGCCCATGTGTCCCATAGTGTCACCCAGCCCCCAGGTCCAGGGATCCCCCCCACCTCTCTGCACGGATATACCCAGCCAGGTAGGAACACTGGTGTCTGAACACTGAAGTCTAGACTGTGTCATCCCTATGCACAATACGATTTTATTTTCAAAGATAGGATAAGACAAATTCACAGAGAGGACGTAAGCAAATGAGACTCCTAATGATGCAGGCACTCCTTGGGTCAATTCAATAAAAAGATGAATCATCCTTTCAAGTTTAAGTAAATCAGATGAGCGAACTTTAGCTCATTAATTCCAGTGTCCCCATTACCCAATCATTGTAACGTGTGTAATGTGTATTTTTTTTAAAACATATATTGTTTCTTCAAGATATCCACTGCTATCCTCTTCTAGTGACCTTTCTATAACTTTGATACTATGTCTTGTCTTTTTTCCTCATCATTGTCTTCTTTCACTGACATGTGCTGTAGATATGCCTATCAAGAATGCTGATATGTTGGAGCTGGACCTTGACCTCTGTTCTTTGAACATGTTGGCTGGCAGCTGCCTCTGGCTCCCTCCCAGGCACAGAGACTCATTTACACTGAATCTGAACAAAGTTCAAATCAGAATTTTATTGTTTCAAATGTATTTCTGATGTTGCAGTGTGACGTGGCTTTCAGGACAAGTCCAAAATTTTGTTTCGGTGTCTGATGCAGGCTGTGTTGATAAAATGTTTGCTCTCTTCTGGTGATATTAACAGAATGCACACAGCCAAATCTTTTGGGCATTTTGAAAGCTGTAGGTAGTAGTTTAATTT